TGTCATCTGTGTTTCCCCATTATCCTTTGTATTTAAGTCTCTGCCTTTGCGTTCAGTGTTTGTCGGGTCTACTCGTTGTGTTTGTGTGTTCCTGCCATTTCCATTGTGGATATTCCCCTATGTTTTCTGGATTAAAGACTATTGCTTGTACTCCACGTTTCTCTCTCGTTCCTCCGAGCGAAGATCGTGACAGTGATCTTGGATTATGTCCCTGTTTAGTAATCCGGTCTGAAAAATATGTGTTCCTTGCTTCCTTAACTTTACACTGATAAGTGGACATCAGATTTTTTAAAGAGACAAGGGAGACACTAAGTTTATCCTTTTTCCACTTCCGTTCTGCCTTCCTGCATAGTTTCTTAAAAGTTTCTTAATTCTTCATTTAGCCATGGTAAAGAAGGTTTCAGCTTTCTTACTCTAATTGGGGCTACAATATCTAAAATATCTCTACAAGAGCTGTTAAAAACACGAACTAACTCCTCTACGGAGAAGTCAGATTGTTGGCTGGAGTTAAAAGGAAAATTAGAGGCAGTGAAAGCTTGACAGAAGTGAGAAAATGAGAGTGAGTTTAAAGGGCGAGAGCGAATCAGTGTAGAGGGTTTGGAATCAGCATTGCATTATGATCAGAGATGGCAAAATCAATCAATTTCACATCCTCCACACACAAACCATAAGAGAGCACGAGGTCAAGCATGTGCCCTTTGTCATGGGTAGGCTGCTTCACATATTGAGTCAAATTAAAAGAGTCTAGAAGTTTAATAAAATCAGAAGTAAACGAAGAAGAAGAGCAACAAACATGGATATTAAAATAGCAGAGAATAAGAACTCTGTCATAATGCAGCATAATGACAGATAAAAAGTCAGAAAATTCCTGAATAAAACCGGAAATAGATTTAGGAGGTCATTAGATTATAACACATAAAATAGGCAGTTTATTCTTTAAAATAAAAATAAGACTCTCAAAGGAAGAAAAGCAACCAAATGAAACTGGAGAACAGCTAAAATCCCTTCTGTGTATTACTGCGAGGCCTCACCCTTGGCCTGTCAGTCTTGGCTGGAGAAAAAATTAATAATCTGGGGGGGATGACTCAATGAGGGGGGCACATTCATCAGGATTTATCCAGGACTCTGTGATAATTGAACTGATATAGCTGCAGGGATATAAGACATGGTTTTAACTGTGGTGAGATTATTTCTGTGCGGGCTACAAGTAGACTTATTTTTTTCACATTTGCTTTCAGTAATCCTAGTGGGAATGGATAAATAAGTGAGGGAAGCGGAATTACAACCAGCACCAGCAGGACCCGCACTGTCAGAGATAGGACTAAAAAGTGCAGAGCCAAAACACTGGACAGGGTCATGCTGGAGAGACCATCAATTGAGACTAAAGGCAATAAAATTAATAAAATTAAAAATCAACTTTTCTGTTCCCTTCCTATTAGGATGCAACCCATCCAGTAGCAGTAGTAAAATTTTGCATCCACAAATGCAAACTAAAAAGACGGCTAAAACGTTCAGAGCTCTTGGTCATGGAAGCAGTAGGACCAGACAGAACACACCTCCTACCCAGACATTCAACTATAGAAACCAGAGACTCAAGTTCGTGGTGCAGTTTAATGGACTGCCTAGCCATGACATCATTGGTGCCCGCATGTACTATGACAGTATGAACAGACGAATGAAGATCAAGAAGAGCTGGAATCAGTTCAATAAAGTCAGCTGTCTTACCTCCTAAGAGACAGTAGGTGGTTACACCAGGAAGTTTTACAAATGTGATGATAGAATCTCCAACAATTAAAATCTCAGGTCGTTCACTTTCAGGGGATCCTATAAATTGAAAGCTGAGATCTGAATTTGTGACCAATCGTTGTCAAGCTAACAGAGTGTAAGTAAGTTGAGTGATCAACCCGATCTGATGCTTGCGAGGAAGAAGGCAGTAGAGTTGTAGCAGGTGGGTTGTTGCTGGAGCTGCCGCATTGTGGTGCTGATTTTCAGATTCCAATCGACAGAGTGACAAACGGGGACGTTTGCACCCAGGAGGGCCTGGTGTAGGAGATAGCGAACCCGATGAATTTAAACTAGAAAAAGTAGGGCACTTTCTGATGATCGGCCGCACATGTATCGGACCGTGAGCAGTAGACGAAATTGGAGAGATGACAGGCTCCTGAGGAAGCTCAGCTAAGGGAGAAAAAAGTTTGTGAGTGGGATGTCAATGACATCATGTCACCACCACCAATACCAGACGAATCGTAGAAAGGAAGGGAAAATCTTTTACGGCCCTTGACAACAGATGCCCAGGAAGGAGAGCAGAGTGAAGCCGGACTAGGGACATCGACTGCATCCAAGGCCAAAGCCAAAGGCCGCTGGCCACCCACAGGCTCGAGACACGCTAACCGGGAACGTAATTCCATTTGCCGCAGGAGGAGATCCTTGATGAGCTGCTCGATAGAATGAAGTTCATTTTTTAGTGCAATAACCTCCACTGCCAGGGCCATTTGTAGGGTAAGTAATTCTTAATTGTTCACTTGAAGTTTGCCACCACACTATTTATCTGAACTTCTTTCTTTCTTACCATCACACCAATAGACACTTTATTGTAACATGACAGAGTTACATGTTACATGTACTTATTATTTTAAACAGCAAACAATAAAGTTTGCATAATAGGTAACTAGTAAATAACCCTAAAACACAAGCTGGATGGATTTTCTGCCATCACTAAAACAGTCAAACAAAGACTGGAGGGACATATTCATATCTGATATTCATATTCATATCAATATCTGATTTTATGGGAAGATAAAGCTGGATATGATATGAAATCTGACATTTGTGAAAAGTATGAAAAATGCTTATGGCTAATGGAGGCGAATACAGGGATAACAAAACAGGGCCTAATACTGAACCCTGCAGTACACCGCATGTATAAGCAGCAGAACAGGAGTTATAGTTTTCAATAGCTACTGAAAAAGTTGTCCCCTTAAGGTAGGATAAAAACCAATTTAGAACTAATTCCTTAATGCCAACATACAGCTTAAGACGATGCAGTAAAATTGAGTGATCGACTGTGTTCTGCACTAAGAGCCAGAAGAACCAGAACAACACATGGTAACACTTTATTTTGATGGTCCCTTTTGAACATTCTGGTGACAATAAGTAACGTTGCACCACATGTCAACTAACTCTCATCAGAGTATTAGTAGACTGTCTGCTTAATATCTGCTAACTCTTTATTGTGATGGTCTCCCAACAGACATTCCCCTGACTATAAGTAACTTTGCAAGTACATGTCAGCTTATTCTAACCCTAACCCTACCAGTCTACTAATACTCTGATGAGAGTTAGTCGACATGTGGTGCAACGTTACTTATTGTCACCAGAATGTTCAAAAGGGACCATCAAAATAAAGTGGAACCCAACACATTAATCAGATTTATGTTTCTTTCTTTCTTTTTTTCTTTTGGAATTTGGGATATACCTGACATTATTTAGATACAAAAGATGTGAATATCAAGTAAGTGGAAGTAAATGGAACAAAAAACGTAGTTTGACCGACAGTTATTTATTTATCTCTGTATTCTGGTCCAAAGTGAGCTGCTGTGCTTTCTATCTTCTATACAGGCAGTTACCTTTTAAAACAGTATTCAAATGTGTTAATATAATAAAAATAAGTTTTTTCTCCATTTCTGTCACTGATGGAGTCTGGGTTCCTTGCCACTGTTGCCTTTGGCTTGCTTAGTTGGGGACACTATTTGGCAATATTATGGACTTGAATGCACAGACACTATTGGAAGAGGACTGAAGTGAGCTAGAAGATGACATCACTGAATCAATGATGAACTGACTTTAACTGAAAAATTGACTGTTTACTGTTGTCCTCTTTCTAGAGCTGCTTTACAATTGAATTTTGTTTGCATTATTGAAACATTATTTTCCTCTTTACCACTGTAAAGTTGCTTTGACACAATCTGTATAGTATAAAGTGCTACATAAATAAAGGTGTCTTAACTTAAAATAATTTAAAGTGCCCCTATCATGGGTTATGAAAGGTTCGTATTTTGGTTTTGGGAGTCCCCAACAACAGATTGACATGCATGCAAGGTCAAAAAACACTTTCATTGTCTTATAATACGCATTTATTTTTAACTTTTTTGCTTAACGACTCCCAAACGATTCACTCAACGATTCATTTTTACAAACCCCTCCTTTGCGTGATGCTAATCTGCTGTGATTGGTCCGATTGGTCTCATTTCCATTTCATCATGCCTGTGATGCCTGATAAAGCAGCGTTTATGAGCGCAGTGCTGCTTTGTGTACAGCGTTACCGGGGAAAACGCTATTTTTACCGTTCCAAAAGCAGCACCTAGTTGCAAAGAATGAATTTGCATTTTCATCCAGACCAACACGAAAAGACCAACAAGTGGATGGGTAATATGCTAATGTTTCATGTTGACGTCAACATGAAACGGCTTGGGATTCGTTTTAAAAACGACTCGTTTCAATGATTCAGAGTCGACTCTTTCTTTTGAGAGACAATAACTTAATACACGATGCACTTTCAGATTTAAAATTTTGCAGGATATTTTCATTCACTTAGAGCTGTGTTACACACTGCATGAAAGGTCATTTTCACAAATCCATAATAGGGGCACGTTAAATTAATTAAAAATGCTAAAAATACATGAACAGGACACTTCAGCCTATATGGGGGGTTTAAGTATGCTGACTATAAAGGCAACTCATTTAAATGGAGCAGAGCCATTAAGTGAGCATGTGTTCATTGTTTTTTATTTTAGTCAGTTACATTGTATGTACACTATCACTACCTTGGACTCATACTTTAAATAACAAAGAAAATGAATACAAGAAAATTATAAGTTAACACTGAGGATACTACTATTAGATAATAATAGCACAATACTGCAGAAATACTGTGCTAAACATGCAAAGGCAGAATGTGCTTTAAGTTATTAAGTATATGAATAAGAATTAGCAGTGTGTACCGTAGCTAATGAGGAGGAGGATGAAGGGCTTGTTGCGGAAAAGTCTTGCAATTGAAGCCAGGTACGAGTACTGTGTGGTGGCCATGTCTCTGAGCGCCACCTGAGCCAGAGACGGCGGGGTTTCAGGCTTTTCCTGAAAAACTGAATGGCACATTCAAAAACTTGATTACCACAAAAGAAACTGAAAAACACAACTCTAAACAGTAATTGATTAAACCAGAAATGGACATTATGTCAATCAACATGACCCTGTTTTCAAAATGATTGCAATCAAGGATATCATCATAGGGCAAAGCATTGAGCATTGTTCATGAAACATGAGCAGTTAAGTGCTTGTAAACACCACTTATGTAAATTATTGCATTCAGATATCAAATTGGATGTATTGAATGATTTCCACAGAAGTTGGTTCTGCTTGTGTTTCCTCCAAGTCAAAACCAAATTATATAATCAATTTTCATATATTTCACAACTTCAGTAGACACAAATGACTTCGTAAAAGCAAATCTCAAAACGGATCTAAATGGTCTAAGAATTATAGCAACAGATAGAGAGAACCAACTGAAGAAAAAAAGAAAAAAAAAGTAAAGTAAATGCAATAACAAGATAATTAAGGAATAAATGATGAAGCAGTCAAATACTATGTATGCATGTATGTATGTATTTAAGCAGGTTTTGGCATCCATATTTAAGCTGATAACAGGAGTGTATGAATTAAAGAGCTATTCCATAAAGTATCGTGGTGCACTCACATTTTTATGTTAAAGAGCAGAGTAGGTTTTATTAACAGATTTTACATGCTGATTAAAAACGCTTGTCACTACATCAGTCCTGTTAGCTTTTCATTTATGCTGCTGGAGTGGATGTTCTTACCAAACAAGACCAGCAGAAAGATGAGGCTGGCCACAGCGGCTGTGATGTAGAACATGATGCTGATGTGTTGAGCCAGTTCATTCATGTCATCCACGTTGGGCACAAGTATCGGCGGGATCAAGAAACCAATAGCAATGCCAAGCTGAAGGGGAAAGACATAAAAAATCAACTGCACCATAATCTCAGTCTCACTGACCTAAAAATCATATGAAACTGAAAAAAAAAGTGATTGTCTGGTTTTGTTCATCTTCCAGGATAAACAGCACGGGTCATTTTAACAGTCTGCCTGAATAATTTTGAATTTACATGCACAGGAGAACTTTTGACAACTTTTCTAACCAAGTCACAACACATGCGTACGCACATTGTTCGCACATTAATGAATTTGGAGGATTCTAAATGTGCGACTGCATGCCCAAGGTTAGTCATTTGCATTAAACACACCTAAACATCTCCATTTCCTTTAATGCAGACCCAGATCACAGCCTCTTAATAGCCAGCTATGTGTATATGTGTGTTATTATACAGAGATACCTCACAGCTCAAGCTATAATGCAGCTACTTCGTAGCCTACTGTCATTTATGGTCAAGCAATCATATATAATGTGATAGTTTCATAAAGCCATGAAAAACTGTTTTGATGTTCTCAGGTTTGCTATATAGGGCCTTCTATAATTTGGCGCCCAAGTAGACTAATAATGATTATTGAATGAATTCTATGGGGCACGGCCAAATTCAGCTATTTAAAACAAAAGAAAACGTTTTGCTATATACTAGGCCTATATATAAATGCGCAATAAAGTGACAGTCGCTACCTAATGTTTGTCTCCGATAAGGAACGGGAAAGCAGCCGCTGTTGTTATGGTTAACGCGATAGGCTAGGCCTACGTCAGTATCTATTTAGTGTGAGTCAAACGTGCAATCTAACTTTCTGGTTTCTTGAATGCTGCTTGAAAACGCTGATGAAACGTATAACTAATGAATATACAGTTTTTCGTTCTTAGCCCCCCAATTAACCCAATTTTCATCCTGCTTATTTTCACAACTTGTTGAAATTTTATTCACGCTTCCATTTCTATGAACAAAACCCTTTAGTGCATCGACCTTTGTTCTCTAGTTGTTTCTATGCGTAACGTCAAAATGCACTTAAAATGGCAAAAGAACCGCACAGTCTATGTGTGCAGACATATTCGGGGAAAACCTGCGTTTTTGGTGTAATCTAGTCCAGCTGATTAATGTAACTTAAAAGAAGGCAGACAGTTTTTCTGTGTTTCTGTGGCAGTGCAGCGATGCGCTCCGTGCGCTTTTACGCACCTGGTTTCCAAACACGCCGATGGCGCAGGCGGTGGACACTTCATCAGATCCGAACCACACGGACGCGACCTGAGACGGCATTCCCAAAATGAACACCTGCGCAAAGGAACAGGCGAACTGTCCGAGCATCGTGACCCAGAACAGGTTGGGCTGAACGCTGGCCACTTTGATCCACGTTCCCACGCAGTTGATCGAGGCTGCGAGCAGAGCGATCACCCGCAGCCCCTTCCTCTCCAACAGCCATGTCACTGGAAATATGAAGGGGATGTAAGTCAGCATATAGATCATTGACAGCCAGTCGATGGCGAATGAAGAGCCGTTGTAGAATTTCATGAAGATGTTGTTGATGATTCCGTACTGGATCCACTGGAACGCGTTGCAAAGCGAATAAGAGCTAAAGAGACACAAAATGAGCCATCGCCTCCGGTATAAACGAGTGTTACATACAGTGTTCGTGTCTCTGCATTCGGAGATTTCAACGTGATCAAAGTTTGCATCTGTGTGTGTTGTCTGCTCTGTCTGAAGAACGTCTTTTCCAAAGTGGTTGCCGCTTTTTTCGCACATTTAGCGCTGCGGGTTCTACCTTCAGTCAATGCTTCTATTGTAATTAAGGAAATATTCCAGACGCAGAAGAAGTTCCCACGAGTCTTTAAACATCCGGACTGACTTCGTTTCCACCGAGAATAAAAGTTCAGAGCAAAGGTGAAGACAGAATCACACATCCCTCCAGGAAACAACTCAATCACTTCTATCTCTGATTCATGCGTGTGAGCCTCAGACTCCACATCATCATCATCACCATCATCATCATCATCATCATCATCATCACGCCGAATGACACGAGAGAGAAACTCTATCACGTGATCTGCTGTCAATCATTAGCTCCTGCTCAACCCAACATATTCTTACAGAATATTGAGTATTAGGCTGTACTGTATTGTATAAAGTGGCGGTAGTATTCATTAGGCGAATACTTGGGGCCCCAGAGCCCTCTGCTGGTTACAAACATAAATAATAGTTGCTGCAATATCAGCAATGGGGTGGAAATTTCATTCACTCAACATCGTCTTACATGTTTATTTATTTTTAAATTTATTCATTTAAAAAAAAATTGTTTTGATATATTTATTTATTTACAATGGAAAGATCTTTTTATGTGCATGATCTGGTATGATGTCTAAGCAATGCTTATATGCCATCATGCAACCATGTTACAGAGAAGGAAGAAGAAAAGGACGATTAAAAGGTTATAAACAGATAAAATGTTCTTTGGTAACATAATTTATTTATTTGTACAAAGCAGGCTTATTGCACATTCATATTTATTAACTAAGTAATCCTTTTTTTGTTGTTTGGTGTGTCTGGTGCTGATAAAATGCTAATAAAGACAAGCTGTTGGTCCTGCTTTCACTGAAAACAACTGCAAAACACAGATCCAGTTTATTCAGTCATATAATTTATCATCTACGCAACAAAATTGTGCTTCTCTTGTAATTTCTTTGCTTTTAATTAATGTAATTCTCTAAAATGTGCAGTCTACTAGATTAAATTAAGTAGGGCAAATGTGAACCAAATCAAGTATTGTAGTTTCCATAGGACTTGATGAGGAAAGTGAAAATGCTGAAATATGGTTTTGAGCAAGTTAAAGTGCCCTTATTATGGGTTATGAAAGGTTCATATTTTGGTTTTGGGAGTCCCCAACAACAGGTTGACATGCATGCAAGGTAAAAAAAAACAAACAAAAAAACACTTTCATTGTCTTATAATATGCATTTATTTTAACCTTATTTGCTTAACGACTCCCAAACGATTCGTTTAACGATTCATTTTTCCAAACCCCTCCTTTGCGTGACGCTAATCTGCGGTGATTGGTCCGATTGGCCTCATTTTCATTTAATCTCACCTGTAATGCCTGATAAAGCAGCGTTTGTGAGCGCAGTGC